ACAAAGACAGCCCTGCTGCATGGATACTCTTACATCAATATTGATTAATATCCCAGTAATGACTTGTTTGACCACCCTAATGGTCACCGGAGTATTCGGGGGGTGCACTACCTTGTATGCAAACGGTTAAATGTTGTTTATGCTACATTGTTTCAAACTCTGTGATCAAGGCATTCCTTTGTCCCCCCCCCCCCCGGGGGGGGGGGGGGGGCTGTAGTGTTTTATCACAAGCACATCCATGTGAAGGTTTGTTTGATGTTTGGTAAGCGTCCTGCCCTTTTTATGGCTTCACTGTGCTGTGTTTGGTGAACCAGGGATTGAACCACACACTGGGTGTGGGGGAGATTACCCCGTATGATCAGGATGTTGTTAGAAACAGTTGTGATCAGGTCACACAAACGCACCCCCATGACACACACACACACACACACACACACAGCCTTGTCTTTGTAACCAAAGGGGGTTTTACGAGGGGAGGTACTTGTGTAAACTATCGTTTACTGTAACGGGGTTTTCCAATAAAAGGCAGCGAGCGAGGCCGGAGTCGGGGTCATTTTGTGCATTCCTGAGACACCGACGAGGCCTCCCTTGTGTAAGTAAATCGATCGACTGCTGTTGCTTTGTTTTTCCTTCACGACAATAAGTCTCTACACCAGCGGGACGTGGAAACACAGACCCAACACAGATCTTCAAATGACACTGAGGAAATGTTAACATTTTATTGTAAGATCTCTGCTGTTACTGAAGTTTGGCTAACGAACCCACAGAAAGAAAAAAAAGGAGTACTGGCATATTAACCAAAATAAAAGAGAAATGGGGGGTTGTTGTTTATGTTTTCCATTTAGCCGAGGAATCCACGAACCATGCTTGTGGAAAGTAACGCGGTGTAAAACACTGTATGCACAGGCTGTAATGACATCGTGGTCAGCCCACTGTCTGGGACTGCTGCTGGAGAAATGCCTCATGGGTATCACTGCAAGCTCACCATAGCAGCAAAGTACTCAAACACTACTGTGCAACCTTTACACACTGTTATTAAATACACTGGATACATACATGCATGAATAGGACCTTATTCCTGATTCAAGCCCCAGCTGTAAGCAAAGTTAGTGCACGCACGCATGCGCACGCTTACACGTGCGCACACACACCTGTAAGGACTCACAGGAGTCAAGTAGGTCCAAGAGAGCAAAGAGGAAATCATGCTGCTGTGAGAGTCACCGCTACGCTCCAGCACATCGCTCCGAGTGGAACAAGCCCCGCCTTCATCAGACACGGTTAATTTTGTCAGTCTGACAGCTGGACTGTAGGCACGCCCATCAGCAGCAGCTACCTGCCACGTCTGCTCTGACTTGATAAGAAACCGCAGTGAAATTACAAACCACTGACCCGAGTTTCTCTTTCTCAATGACACAGTCGCTCCGCTTCCCTTTCTTCGGTTCCTGTCACTGCATAAACTCAATTGTGTTGCACAGAGCCTCCGTGACCGAGCGCGTCCCACTGACTCTCATCATGCACCCAACACAAACACTGACATGAGAACGAAAAATGCACTGTTAAGCTTACCTGTATAAAGCTTCCACTGTTTCATCAGGACAAAGTGTCCATGATTTTAATAATGCAGAGCTGTCATTTCTCTCAGGCTAATAAAGCTAATGTTTGAAATCACAGGCAGGATTGTAGCATCGCCGTTCTCATGCTAATGTTAAGATTTAAAACACGGGGAATTATCTTTACAGGATGACAGCTACGCTGGAACCCTCTGTGGCTCATTACCAAGGTCAGAAGCATCCTCTGAAGGTGTAGTAGTAAATGCAGCATTACAGACAATACCTACTGTGACCATCACTGAAACCAACACTCAGATGCTCAGCTGCAAGACGAGCGAAGCCAGGAGCAGTACCCTCCACGGGGGAAGACACTGGAGGCCGAGCAGCCAACTCCCTCGCTGTGCCCGAGAAGGACAGCAAGCTGCCCATAGCTGAGGCCAAGCACAGACTCACAGCCTTGGCCTAACAATGCTCGTGTCAGCAGGTCAGGCCAAATTATAGATAATAAAATACGGTTAAAAGTGGAACCTGGGGGCAGTTAGGATTTTGGAAATGCATGTTGTCAAAATGAAAATGACTTGATGTCACAGAATCGACAGCAGCATCCTTTGTCTGGAGTTTGGTACCAACATTTATGAGGACGATTAAACCATCCTTACAAACAACAGGAATCGTTATTAACACTGAAAACAGAAGTTATAGAAGCTCCAAGTGGGAGCAAAGTCTGAAATGTGACTCACGTAGTGGGAGAAACTTCGAGCGAGGAATTTGGCTCCCAGATGCGAGTAAACGTGTCAAACCAATGCAGATGCTTCCACCCAGGAGCGGTGCATGCAACAGGAAGGTCATTATCGTCAGATCAAGATGCAAGAGGCAACCATTTGAGAGGGACAGCAGTTCAGCTGCAGCAGCTTCACTCACACCAAGGCTAAGCTTCACATAGAACTGGCTGCGTGTTCGTTTACAGTCAGCGACTACGATTAGAAGAAGAAAATGCTCCTCTGCTGCTATGTGATGATATCGAACATCTGCTTCTCAGACTGAAGCTGAAGTATGGGCCGGTGCTCAAAAGGGACCAGTTCAGAACTGGCTGGAAGTCTCATGTTTCCATGGTAACGATGGCTAGGATAACATCTACATTCAGATCTGTCTAAATCGGGATGGGGAGCTCCAGGCCTCGAGACCTGCAGGTTTCAGATGATGATCCAACACAGCTCCTTAAAATGGCTAAATGACCTCCTCAGCGTGTCCCCAGGTAATGAATCCATCATGTGACTCAGGTGTGTTGACCCAGGAAGCTGCAGGACAGTGGCTCTTGAGCCTGGACCTCCCCACCCCACCTCCCGGGTCAGAAACTCTGGTTAACAGCGCACATGATGTTCATGCATCAGTACTTCCGCTAATATAGTAACGTAACACAAAGTGTCCCGAGATGATCGACGTCGAGTCCTATATTGATGCAATTTGGAGCAATATGCACGTGATAGCAGAAGAGCAGCGTTAGCTCAGTGAGGCCAGAGGGTCAGTGCAGTCTCTCAATGGAAAATATCAATGAAAGTGAAGCAATGCTAAAACTACAGACACTGGGCTGCAGGACCTCCATATCCTCAAAAGATGATCACCTCACTTTGTTACTGTGACACATCGTCTGAGTTTTTCTAGAAAGCAGCACGTGGTTTAAAAAGTCTACCACAAAAACACAAGTTCAGTTAGGGCTCCAATCACAGCCTGGTCAGCTGTCAATGTGAACAACTGCCTGCACTCTCCAGGAAACACTTTCAGTTTAACGTCCTGTCATTGATGCAAACTGTGGAAAAGTCATGTGTGGAGGACGAGCGAGAGGGGACACTGAGACACCTTTACAGTAATCTAACAAGTCATCAGCATGTCTGATGTTACGGCACCTGCCTCTGTTCTACACGCTGAAGCTGAGGAGACAGAGCGCCACGGACACGCGCGCCAAGTACAAGGGTTGAGGTAAAATATTCAGGTGTGCTGTACACTTTTGTTCTGGAGAGGGAGCAAGTCAGAACTATCGGGTCTCTGAGGTCACATCGTTTTCAAACCCAGCGCCGTCTTTCGCTTCTCAGGTTAAACGTGATATATACGTCACGCAGTTACTTAGTTTTAATGTAACTTTTATTACTCTCTGGGTCACAAAATAAACCTTTAAGATATTTTCAGGCGAGAATGTAGCTGAGTAAACTTCAAATATCTGCTCTGTTTATCAAGACATCGCATATTTGCAAAAGTGCTCCGACGTTTTCGGAGACGTCTGTTACCCACCAGCTCGACAGCTGACCGGGAGCTCGAGGCTCACTCGAGCCGGCGAGAACAGCGCACTCCCGACGCATCATTTTCAGATCGCTGCGGTCTTTTTGCTGCTCAGGTTAAACATGATAAATGAGTCACTTAGAGAACTTAAAAATCTTATTGTTTGGCTTTTTTCAGGGTTTGATTTGTTCCTGAGTAAATCGGTTTGGCTGAGATTAAAGTTACAGTTTCACACAAACGGAAAACTGATGAAACAATTACTCCAGTGTCCTGTTATATTTGACATAGAAAGAACAGACGCTGAGTTTATTCAACTCCACCGAGACAATCTGCAAATTTCATTCAAGTTTAATAAACTATCATCTTGTCTTTATTTTTAGTGAGCACCTGAAACACTTCCAGCTGTAAGCTCATGATAGTTAGAGCAGATGCTGCTGGACGCCTGATCTGATCAGTCGACTATCAAAATACTGGTTTGTGGCAGCCTAACTGATACCTTTAAAGAGAAGCTTGGGACCCACCTGTGCAAGCTTGCTTTGATTAAGCTTTATTTTCTATCTACTTTTGGATCATAAAACACTTTGTAACCTTTCTTCTTGAAAAGTGCATATAAAACTTGACTTGCTACACGTAAGAAAGAAAAAGGGGAACAGTTCCTCTGTTGAACAGAGCTGAAACTTTCTCACTGCTTAAAAGAAGAACTGGAAAGAAAGTACCATTCAAAGCATGCGCAGAGCTCAGAAAATAATGAATGCTACACAAAGTTAACACTCTTCCAGAGTCTGAAAGGTCTGCCAGCAAAGACATTCTTCATTCTTAAGCTACCGGCCGTAAACACTGAGCCACGGACGGATTGTTAGACTTGCTGCCCGGTGTGCAGTCACCCACAGCACGCATACGACTCTGACCACCTGCATGTTTACTGTCATTTTGAGAGTTTCCCTGATTACTTTATATCTTTCAAGTCATGATATTGTGTCTCAGTGGGTGATTTGTGTGTTTTGTGACCACTCTCTATAACAGAGTCTTTGCGTAGCCCTTTGTGTTTTTGGTCATTCTCTTTGTTGTTGTCTGGTTGTGGGAGTTTGGGGTCTGGGGGCTCTTCCCAGGTGTTTCATCTCTTAGTTTGGTCGTCATCTTTAACATTTCATGGCTTACATGCTCAGCACACTTTACTCCGCTGGGTCTGGACCGTACCTGATTTTGTAGTTGGGTAAGGTGTGTTTCTTCTTGATGACCCGTTTCAGCTGGTTGACTATGATGGAGGTGAGCTGAGGCAGTGGCCTCCCTTCAAACTGGGACTTCACCTCAAAATCCACCAGTGGATCCTCGAGGAAGGAGAAGGACCAGTGGGAGAAGGGCACGCGCGTGAACTGCAGCCTCAGCCTGCCCACCACGCGCCTCATCTTGACGAACAGGTACGCAGACTTTCCGAACACGAGCTCGACGTCGATGGCGAGGTGGAAGCCGCCATTGTACTCGATGTCCACCTCGAAGTTGAGCTCTTCGGGCATCCCGTCCTCGTTCAGATGCGCCGGCTTCATGAGTTTGGCGGTCTTAAAAACCGGCAGCGAATTCCCGAGAGAGAAATCTTTCAGACTGAGTCCCTCCAGGAGCCGACCAGCTGTCTTGGTCTGCAGCAGCTCCTCAAACTCCACCTTAATCTTTTTGGTGAGCCAGTGTCTGACGACGGGAGTGTCTCTGAGCTCCCGGAATAGGAACAGAAAGATAGCGTTTAGGAAATGGCACGTTTCGGCTTTTCCTGCATCGATGGGCTCGCTTTGGGAAGGCGGTGGCGGCTGTTGTTTCGGGCCGCCGCCGGTGACGGCTGCCTCCTGCTGCCGCGTAGAGGCGGCCTCTGGCTGCTTAGATGCGGTACATGTCGTGCTGTCCTGCTGCTGGCCTGCTTCGGCATGATGGCTATTAAAGTAATCCTTCAGCGCGTTACCGGGCACTACTTTGACATACTGCACTGTCCTGCCTACGGGCTCAGGGCTTCTCCGGTATATTAGCAGGAACTGTACTATCAGCGTAACGACTGCACCGAAAACCGCGGAAACGAGTATTAAGTAAATCATGTCGAGCACGCGCCCTGATATCCACTCAAAGTGTTGTGATAACACGAAGCAAGTTCTACTTGGGCGCTCTCAAAGCTGCCATATCATCGGCTTCTTTCCTGAGCTTCTCTTAGCTTCTCACCTGATTGGACGAATGGGTTACGTGACTGTGCGTGATGACGAAAGCAGGTTTTGATGCGTTCAAGCAGACTGCGAAACCTGTTGACCGGAGTCACCGGGTTCCGTGGCCCTCTTTGTAAACACGGCTTTCCTTTGGTCACAGTCTTGAACATACGGCTGCCATGTTACCGACAACCATCACTTCCTCTAAATATTCATGTTTATTCTTCATATTTTAGTGCAAATGTATTCAGTGCCAATAGAATAGCTTTATTGTCACCATACAGATGCGAGATATATATATATATATATAT